TAATTATTTAATTTGCAATTAAAAGGAATTGCAAATGATGGGTGCTAAGACTGGATAGGTAGGAGACTAGATCAGTAGAGAGGTTAATGGGGAGCTCTGACAAGTTTTATAATGCTATATAACCTGATCAGAACACTGCTTTATAAGAGACTTCTCTGGTGTCAGCGTGGCACATGGACTGGCATCGGGAAAGATGAGAGGAACAAAATAGTTACCTGTCTATGTGAATGGAACTCAGGCCTCCTGCTGACCAGTTTCAAGAGCTTTAAAACTTCATTATTTTAATTTCCTGTATTTTTTGCATCTTTAGCTTCAAATTATATCATCAGTAATGTTATTTTTGAACGTGGAAATGCCCATTAAACTTATCCCGTGTGTTTCTCATTAATAGGCTGCTGCTGATGAATACAATAGACTGAAGCAAGTTAAGGGGGTAAGTATCCCAGGTTGTAAGATTCTCCGCGGAATAATTTTTCTGTTGCATGTTTTTCCTTGAACCTTGAGAATACCTTGACACGCATGTACTGATTATACACAGAAGGCCCAATAGTTGCAAGATAAACTATACCTGAGAAGTTGGAACCTTAATTTAAGTTGTTTGCAGCTATAACCAATACTGATTTTTTTAAAAACTTTTTTAAAGGTTGAAGTATACATACATACAAGTATATATCATAAATGTACAAGTTGGTAAATTCTCACAAAGCAACCACATACCTTTGTACCTGGCACTCAGATCAAGAAGTAAATTTCCTTGTAACTCTGAGAATGCCCTCCTGTACTCTCTTCCAACTTTTGCTTTCTCTCTAGAGGTAACCACCATTGTCACCTCTAACATCATAGATTAATGTTGCCTGTTTTGAACTTTATATAAATGGAACCATATATATGTGATTTATCTTTAAAAAACTATTGATTGATTTGAGAGAGAGAGAGAGAAAAAAATCAACTTATTGTTCCATTTATTTATGCATTCATTGTTTGCTTTCTGTATGTGCCCTGACCCAGGGACTGAACCCACAACCTTGGCATACAGGGACGATGCTCTAACCAACTGAGCTACCTGGCCAGGGCTGTGTGATTTCTTTTGCTCAGTTCTGTGTGAGATCCATTCATGTTTTGGCATGTGGTTGTGGCTCATTTACTTATTTTGTGAAGAAAACACAACTTATTCACTTCTTCTATCATTACTGAGCATTTGGATTATTTCCAAGTTAGGGCTTTTGCAGCGAATGCAGCTTCAAACATTTTTGTGAGTGTCTAAGCATGTGTGCGCGCAGTTGTTAGGTACATACTTAGAAGTGAAATTGCAGGGTCATTGGGTAGGTGTGCACCCAGCCTTGGGTAGGTATTGTCAACCAGTGTTCCTGGTTTGGGCCAGTTGAGATTCCTACCAAGTTGTATAGATTCCTGTTGCTCTATATCCTTTTCTAGCACTTGCCATTCCCAGTCGTTCTTGACTTCAAATGTTTTGTTTGTTTTAAAAGATTTTATATTAAACTTGTAAAAATTACAAAACATCATGATTTTAAATGCAAGAGTTTAAAAGCATGTATAGTAAGTTTCCTGTCTCATTCATCATTAATCCAGTCCCCTTTTCCCAAACTGATATCACTAGTTTGTTGTTTTACTAAATTTTTAGGCTATGTATGCTATCAAAAAGGCCAATAGGTGTTTGTTTGTTTTTTGTCACTTTACAAATCATTAGAAATTTGTGTGTCGTTCTGAAAACTCAGGTTAGAAGATTTTGTTCAGCAAAGAGAATCAACTGCCTATCTGGCTTGAGATACTACCAGGTGCCTTATGTATGTTACATCATTTCACACTCCCAACAATTCTGATGACTTTTTTGATTGATCTCTGCCTTCCCAGCAGCTGCACATAACTCATTTTTATTTTATTAAATTTACCTGATTCATTTTTTCCCCTTTTTAGTCTGCAAATTACAAAAATAAGAGGAATTATTGCAAGCAGTTGAAGAGTAAGTTGTCCCACATCAAGAGGATGGTTGGAGATTATGACCGAGGGAAAACAGAAAGCAAATTCCAGATTGTCTGAGTGATGGAGAAGTATCCGACATCTCTGCAGTGGTGTCAGCATGCAAAATGACTTTGGACTCTAACCAGAGAGGCCAAACCTTTGTGACCATTACAAAGTTTTGGTAGCTTTCATATCATTGGTATGGAAGCATTTTATAAATAGCTTTTGATAATCAACTGTGCTGAACACTCCAATTAAGGATTTATGCTGTAAACACTGGTTCTGATATTAAGAACTGTTGTTTGAGGTTTTCAAACCTTTTCAGGAAGGTTGCTGAGTGTACTGTGCTGTGAACTTTCACGCCCTAGCCAGTCATCTCTTAGTGCTCCATTAGTTCCAATAGGTGATCTCATTGAATCCTCCCAGAATCCTCCCTTCATGTAACTGTTATTTATAATCGTTCCTTTTCAGAGAAGGAAACTGGGTCCCTGCAGTGAAGTGAAACCACTTGTTTCCTAGCTTGCAGTTTGGTTAAGTCTGTTTTATGACTCCATTAATGAAGTCCCTAACCGTTCATATTGTAGCTACTGCGGATATTACATTCTACCAACTTCCCTACTGATTGTTTTTCTGTATGTAAATGGTTAAAAGAGCTTTTTATTGTTTTATGTTATCTTGGTAATGAAGACCATATAAAAGTAACACATTGTGAAATTTAAAGATTGTAAATACGTATTTACTTTTTAAAAATCAAAATTTAAAACCACTAGCTAGAATTTTATTGTGTATTTTATAATACTTCTTAATCTTTTATGGTTTACATGCTTTTTTTTTTTTTCTTTAACCAACTAGGCGCTTTCATTATATTAGAGTACTTGATTACATTTATAATTCAGTTGTGACTTGAAATGTATCTTACAGGAATGTTCAAGTTCTGTACATATTTTATAAGGTATTAAACCAGGTGTTTTCTTTCTATAATATACCTGTTTGATGTCATTAGTGCTGTTAATTTTAAGCTTTGCAAAACTACACTCAGCAATTATATCTGTTACTGTTTTAAACTCTTTTGGGTGTTATGCTGGTTGCTTGTTTCCCAATCTGTTAATAAGGAAGCCGATTCGTCTGCCCTTAAATCTCAGCACTTTCTTTCCATTCAGATTTTTATTAGTCAAGTAAAACTAGCTGATAATACTGGGCATGTCACCAGCCAAGTTGATTGTGATTATCCCCCCAATTTAGAACTCTGTTTTTGTGGAAATATTTTGAAGAATCTGTAAATTAATCATTAGTCTGCAATTCAAACATTTAAGTATGTCAACGTACCTGTAGAGATTTATTTAAAAATTTTTAATGACACTATTGCAGGAGTCCCCCTCCCCACCCTTTGCCCACCGCCACCCTCCCCGGCCTCTCCCTTCTCCTTGGCCTTTACCAAATTACTGTCCATGTCCATGGGCTATGCATAGATGCGATTTTTAAAGGAGTTTATTTGAGCCAAATGTTTTGACAACATGTCAGGAAGCAAGATCTCAAATGCTCCAAGAATTATACTTTTGCAGTTTCTTTTATTTGGAAATAAGGAAGATTACATGAAAGTTGGGGAAAACAAGGTAGGGATTGTATTACAAGAAAAATGATGTGCTCTCTTGAAGGTAGTTATGCCTCAGAGGAGTCTGAAAAAGAGGAAGAATCTGGTATTTTGAAGGTGTGTTAGCCTAGAAGCACAAGAACAATGGACAGGGCTTATGTAAGGCAAAGATAAACCTTTTACTGAAGAAGTTATATGCCTGGGGTGTGACTACCCACCATAATCAGCACCGGAATTTATGATCAGCCTTGGACTTTTCAGATTTATTACAGAGCCCCCTTTTCATCTACAAGTATGTCATTTTTTATATACCAGTCTGAATCATTTTCCAAAGATAAACTTTTGTTTATTATTGATTTTTAGAGAGAGAGAAACATCAACTTGTTGCTCCATCCATTCATGCATTCATTGGTTGCTTCTTGTTTGTGCCCGACCTGGGTCAAACCCACAATCTTCACATATTGGGACAACACTCTAACCAACTGACTCTCCTGCCAGGGCCCCAAAATAAACTTTTAAGTAATGTTTCCATTATAACACTGATTCATTTCTTCAAATTGAGGAAATTCTTAATTTCCCAGGTGTTTTACATATATGAGTAAAGATAATAGTCTGCTTTTCATACCTGTTGGGCTCACATCAAATGGTAAGGACTCTCTTGAGCCACTTAACTGATTTTTATGTGTGCTAAAATTTTGTGCTTGGAAGTCAATGTAATTAGTTTATGAAGGCAAGCTTGCCAGTGTTCTGACAAAACCAATTCAGCTGAATACAGAAAATCAAATAGCATAAGTTTGCGTTGTAAAATTGTGCCATAAAATTGGACTTTGAAATACAAAAACAAAATCATTTTGCAAATGTGGTACTTACTACAGACCACTTCAGGAGCCAGGATCAGGGCGTTTCTGATGGGATTGACATTAACTAGCTGGCTATGACTTTGAAAAGCCACTCAAGCAGTTTCCTAGTCTGGAAAGCAAGAGGTTTAGATTTGATTTCTGAGGACTCTTCCATCTCTGACCTGTGATTCTTATGTCTGCATATATTTGTTCAAGGTCTTGTGAAAGCATGTGGTCTATTTGATAAAGGTTCACTGCATAAGATTTTCTTACATGTGTGTTTTGTATTAAAACTAGATGACATCAACATTTTTATTTATTTTGAAAAATTTAAAGAAATATTGAAAACTATAAACATACCTGTACCCACCACCCAGAAATAAAAGGTGTTAGTTTTGTCACATATGCTTTGTATTTTTTGAAATAAATTTAACTCTTAGTATTTATAGTAAAAGTTACATTCTGTATACACGCATACATACACAGAATATTTAATTTCTTACAACAGTTCTATCGACTTGCAACCATTTCTCATTTTACAGTAAAGTAATGATCTGATGGATTCACTGGTCCATTGTCACATTCTATCAAGTGACTAGATATCTTTGATTATGAGGTTCTATACTCCCAGCCACTCTAGCTTGATTTTCTTAATGAATTCATGGGTTGGATAAGGTGGAGTTGCTCTGTCCTTTTTAATTTTGAGTGCATTTTAAGTATTTATAATAATGTGAAATGTTTTCATATAAATATCTGAGGTTTCTATAACGACCTGAATGGGGGGCATGCATGTATAAAGGGTCAGGGCAGAAGAATTCTTTAGTCATGGTTCCAGGGATCTTAGATTCAGTTGGCTGGGGAGTGGGTGGGGGAGTTCCCTAACAACACACTCGTCCTTTTTCAGCATTGGGATTGGAAGTATCTGAACTGGACATTTTAAAGGCTCAGCCATAGAAATAAAAATTCAGACTCAATCTCCTGGCAGCTCATGGTTCTGCTTACACTCACCATATAACTCTTCTTGTATGAAAGCACAAATAAATTAGATGGAAGGTGATCTCATCCCTCCTGTGTTTCATATTGTTAACATTTCTCCTAAAGGAGTGGTTCTCAACCTTCTGGCCCTTTAAATACAGTTCCTCATGTTGTGACCCAACCATAAAATTATTTTCGTTGCTACCTCATAACTGTAATGTTGCTACTGTTATGAATCGTAATGTAAATATCTGATATGCAGGATGGTCTTAGGCGATCCCTGTGAAAGGGTCGTTCGACTGCCAAAGGGATAGTGACCCACAGGTTGAGAACCAATGTGACCTAAAGGGACTAGTTTTCATGAATAAAATGTCCAAGTATCGTGTAGTTTTTGGAAAACACTGTTAAAATTAGGAGTTAGAAAAAGAACATGCACACAGAACTATGTAAGCGGAAGGGTGGGGGGTGCGGGGGGTGTGGCGGTGCACGCACACACACTGTGGAAGGGTGTTCCCAAAACATCTTTAGTTACTGCCAAAGAGCCTGCTTGTTCTTTCCTGCAAGTGGTCTTGCTTTGCCCTCCAGCAATTACTGTGTTTATGTGTGACCTTGGGCAAATTACCTAGCCTTCCTGTGTCTCATTTTGCTTATTTGAAAGATATCTGTACCTAATCTAGTTAAATGAAGGTAGTTAATGTGTAACTTAGACCAGTCCTTGTCAGAAAGTAAATAAAAAATATGACCAGTTACATCTATTTCCCAAAGCTGGAGGGTGAAATTTGAAACGACTTTTGAAAAAGCAAATTGTGTCTTAAAAGTTTATGTATTATCCCAATCCCCTATGTACTTCATCTGTGTTGGGTGCAGATTAAATTCTGAATTGTAGACATCACTGCATTAGGCTTGGTACTGTGACTATTCATAAATGATGAACAAATGCTTAAAAGAATAGAGTTTACATATCAAGATAAGGATTATTAGGTACTGTTATAAGAAATTCTGGAGGTGTTTAATGAGTCTCTTGAATGATTTAAGTTCCATCTAAAGGTACTGGAATAGGCAGGTTCACCTCTCCCAGCCTTTGAGGTTGCACACTTTGCATATCGGCTTGATTCCACTGGCTGAGCTGTTCATGAATTTCCTCACTGTGGATGGTGTCCAACCACCGACGGGCAAAGAACAAACTGTTCCATTCGTTATAGTTGTCCCTTAGTTTTACAAGTTGGAACATTTGGCTGGGTGAGATCACTTATTATACTACTTGGTACACGATTAGAATATTGTGTCATAATTAAGGCAAGGGATTATGGATTTATGCATATTTCAGTTAGCTTTAGTACCATTCCTACTTGACTCACGGTCTAAAACTACAATCTGTACAGAGGAGAGTAAACTTTATAGTTGCTAAAAGTCTGAATGATTCAGGCTTCTCTCCACGAATATGCTTCAACTTAAATTTATTGGAGAGCCCTCTGTTTTCCCCCCGATTTTCCATTAAAAAGTTTCTAGGGTGGTAAACCTAAGTGAGAAACTTGGAGATTGGGACTGTGGCTGTTAGGAATGCATCCCATCTTGGAATCCCAGCAGAGTGGAAGGAAAGAAAAGAAAAAGAAGAAAGCATGGCGTTTATAGAGAGAAGGCAGGGAGGATAGGAGGAAGGGAAAGGGAAAAGTGTGGTGTTTGAGTGAGTCCTGTAGAGGAGTCAAAGATGGAAGGTGACTGGCACTTTGGGAAAAATCATCAACACTAATTTCCTCTCGCCCTTTTAAAGACAATAAGACCTCATCTTCTGGTTATGGAGTTGCCACTAGTGATGTATAAAACCTGTAGAGTAGGTGGAGGTATCCCCATTTTATAGGTGACTTGCTTGAGGTCACCCAGCTTGTCAGGCAGAGCCTGATATTAAAGCCAGGCCTGTTCATTCCACTACTATGCAGGATGGCTTGTTTGTTTTTGAGGGAGTAGAACACATGGGGAAATAATGTTGGTGCCAATAAAGCAATACCTGTAACTAAGGGGAAGCATAACTAATGGGGAAGCAAAGCAGCTCCAGACCCTGTAGTTCCTTTCTGCTCTTCCTCTCCTGGGCCTAACCTTTAAAAAAATATTCTGGGGTTGCTTTGCCTCTCCATTACTGGAGCGTGGGAAATGCTAGTACCTAATTCCATATGTACTAGCAGGCATCTCTAACAACTTTTCCAAAACAACGGATCTTACCCATCCCCTACCCTCTCAGTAATTGCAACTCCAACCTTTCAGTTGCTCAACTAAAAAAGTTCGGAATCACTGGTTCCTTGCTCATAATACACACCCAATCTATCGACAAGATTGTGAAGCCAACCGCTTCTCACTCCCTGCACTGCCCTACTACACTAGTTCAAGCCACCATCCTCCCTCCGAAGTTCTCACGATGCCCACAGCCACCCACCCTCTGACTTCTGTGGCCACCCTTCCCCCCCCCCCCCCCCCCCCCACCCCCCTCCCTTCACCCCAGTCTCTGCCCCTCCTCAGGCCTTCACCACACTATGGTCTCAAACACGCCAATGTTCTTCCACCTTTGCGCTCGCATCTCCCTTTACCTGGAGAGATCTTGATCGTCCCTAATATCAGCATGGTCAACTCCCTCTCTCATTATGCTGGTGGCTCAACTGTCCTGGTGCGAATTCCTCTGACCACGCGATTTAATACAGCCGCCCATTCCTCCTTTCATGCTTCATTTTACTCAATGCCACTATCACCATTTCATCGAATCTGTTTTTCTTGACAACTGTCTCCATAGAAGAAAACCCCAGGAAGCCAAGGATTTCTGTCCGTTTTTTTCACTGCTGTGTTCTCAGTGGTGAGAACTGCCTTAGGCCCCAACTTAGTGTTCAATAAAACATTCCTTACATGAACACCGGGAGCAGCAGAGGCGTCCCTGAAAACTTGCACAGCAAGGTCCTGTTTAGCTGCTACCGTTCTGCATGCCAACTCTTAGAAATAAGCAAAGTCATCTCCTCAGTTCCCGCATCGATGGCCACCGGGACTCCAACCTTCCAAGATGGGATGATGCTTCTGTAGCCTCTTCCTTAGCTGGAAGGGGGGGACAGTAAGTCCCTTACCGCACTCGAAATCAGCTGCGAGAAGCCGCGGCCCGGGAACTCCAGGCTTCCACCACCTCCACTTGAAGCGGTCGGAACGTTTCTGCCACGCCTCCGCGTGCGGCGGAAGGACTTCGGGGGCGCCCCGAGAGCGGATTGGGCGGAGATTCCGGGCAGAGCGGCTTCCGGCAGAGCGGTG